ATTTAACACCTCATCTGAGAGCCATTAAATAAAAAAAGATCAACGACTCTGATTTGTAAGCATGTGACATCATTGATCTTTTTTGATATAATGACTCTCAGATGAGGTGTCAAATTTCAAATTTGATACTGGTGTCAAAGGATCCTATCTCATATATATATATATATATATATATATATATATATATATATATATAGTCAGGATCATTTTATACCGGTGTAAGTTACACTCTCAATCTTGATCGTTGATCTTATTTATATGTAACTCCTCTGATTTATTAAATATTTAAGCCGTTAGATGCAAGCAAATTAGTGATCAAGATTTGATGTAACACTTCTTATTTTTACATCGGTATAAGAATATCTTGCCTTTATATATATATATATATATATATATATATATATATATAAGTTCCTTACAGCACATTCCCCAGTTTTCCTTCATTCATTTTTTTAACTGATTAAAAAAAAGAGTGGAAGTGGTAGGTACTACGTAAGTATATAGAGTTGTCAAATGAAACACTGGAAAAGTGGTATGTACCATACACAGTTAGCAAATTTACTACGAAGAGATTCTTTTCTTTGACTCTTCTTACACCAATTGGTGCTCATCGGAAGAACAGATGGAATGGGAGGGAAGCTAGAGGCCCAGAAACAGTGAGTGTTAGTTCCTGCCTATCCCTCATGCATAATAACATATTGACATTTTTTTAGCAAAAGAGGAAGAGAAAACAACAAGGACAGAGAGAATGACACACTAAAAAATGTTTATATTTATGTTGATATTTGAAAATTAATGTCCTTTTGATAATTTGACGGTTCAAAAAACATTTAACAGTCTAATTTTTTGAATCACTCAAATAGACACTCTTTTTTGTAGACTTTTTTGGTGCTGCTTTCACAATAAACATGCACTAAATCAAATCTGTATATTCTATTAAGTTAAAAAAATTCACATTTCTTACCTTGAAAAAGAGAATATACTTTTCTTTTTTATTTCATTTTATTTTATTTAGGTCTGAGCTTTTTCCTTTTGGGGTGTCATTACCTCACGGTTGAATATTTTAAGTTTAAACTACCAAATTGTTGGGCCAAAACCCGTAATTCAGTTTGTCCATTCCATGATTCCTTTAAAGGAGTCAGGTAAAGCTGGGCTCAATAAAAGTGAGTGTTTCCTTAGGCCCTTAGCTGCTCTCCTTCTAACACGCAGAGGCCCTAAATTTATGTCCATTTGTTACCCAAAAATATATCAGCTCTAGCTTCTTTTTTGTTTTCAATTTAAATTTAATTTCGAATATGTAAGCAAAGAGAAGGAACACTGACCAAAGTGTTACTTTTTGCTAAAAATTTTATCCAAATATCACGCGAATAATATTTTTTATCAGACTGTCACGTGTCATAATTCACTACCACTGATAGCAAATTTCGTGGCCAATGATTTCGTGACACTTGGCCATATTGCAGACCAAATTCACTACCACTGGTAGCGAATTATGACACGTCAGCTTTTTCCTGCGAAAGTGTGTCACGTGTCATAAAATCATTGACGAACGTAATATGCTACCAGCCATAGCGAATTACGCCCACGTGGCAGTAGGATAAAAAGTATTGTTCACCAATGGATAAAATCGCGTGGCATATGGATAAAATTTGGGAAAAATATTTCTGCAGTTACTGCAGATAAGTTATCTGTATTTTTCCCAAAACGACGTCGTTTTGGTATTGAAATCTTAAAAAGTTATAAATATGAAGACTATTATAATCCTGAAATAAATTAAAATTACAAAAATACCATAATTTCTGTATCAAAACAACGTCGTATTGGGCTTACTGCAGATAAATTATATATAGTAACGGCAGAAAAAGTGAACCCATAAATTTTTTGACAAAATATGACATTTTGATCACTGTTTCCAACGAGAAACTCATTATATCCAAGAATTGTAGGTCTAACGACGACTAGGATTTGACATGTGCAAAGGATCATAATCAGGTCTGACTTTGAACACCGATTGGTATAGTAAAAAAAAACTGGTAACTAGAGTGTTAAAACTGACCCGGTATGACCAACTAATGACATATGGGGATATTTAAATAAAATATATAAATTTTAGGTATATGAATTGAAAATTGAGAATGTTTTGTTATCCATATTTCAAAACATAGCATCAACGTGCTATTCAAGTCAAACTATGCTCTTGTTTTTTTATTGAGCTCGAAAAGTGGAATGTTCTTTTGTGGGGAGAACATGAAGCGAGCAGAGTTCAGTAAAACTAAATCTCATATGGCACAGGAAACACGATCTTATAAAATTTTGATTCTCGTACAGTATATTGCCAAATGAAGAAAATCGGAATTCGTGCTTATAGTCTTGCATGGATGAAAAAGAAGCTCTGCTTTCGAAGTATACTTTATCAGTGAAAGCATTCGAATAGATAATACTGCTCTTCCAACAAAAGAAGATAAATCACGTGCTTCAACAGGGACGACGAGCTAAAATATTTTAAGGTGGAGGCTGAATTCCTCTGTACATAACTAGAAGCAATTTTATTTTATTTTATTTTTTTGATAAAGTATGTGAGTTAATTATGTTGAGATTGAATTCAGGATTAAAGTTTTAAATTTCTCTCAAAAATGATATTGGGAAGAATCAAACATATATTCTCACTCAGAGGCGGATCCAAAAAATATTATTTATGTCTGCACATTTAGAAATGGAGATTCGGGACATTGTCCCGGATTTTTTTTTAAATAAAATTTTAAATATATTAAATAACAAAAGAATATATATATAAAAAAAGAGAAAACTTGAACTTACTACAAAAATAAAGTATTTTTTATGTCCTCAACAAAATTTACATGACCTAATTTACTCCCTTAGGAAAAAAAATTGACTCGTGATCTCTCTGAATTTCAAAATAGACTCATGTTAGTTTTTTTTAGGGATGAATGTAGGTCTTCTTTGAATTTTAGAGAGACTACGATTTCAACTAACCGAATCTATTTTGAAATTTAAAGGGACTGAGAGTCAATTTTGTTTTCTAAAAGTTTAAATTGGGCCTTGTAATTTTTGTTGAGGACTCAAAATATATTTTATTTTATTTTTCAAAAATTTATGTGTGCACTTGCATATACTTGCAATAATACAAGTCCGCCGATGCTCTCACTCTACTTGCTCAGCTCTTATATGCTAAGTGAACTACCATCATTTAGTCCAGAAGCAATTTAATGTACGAAGGAATATATTAAGGTTTCAAATAGATCGAATCCAACCGAATTACATGATGAACAAATAAAGATACAAAAAAAATATATAATTGAGTCAATAGAAATCTTGAATACATAAATATTACAGTTAATTATACTCAACTATCCTGAGGTTTGTTAATAGCAAACTCTAAACTTGATCAAGAGTTATATTTCACCTCATTTGTTTATCGTTGACTAATTATTGACTTAATCTTGTTAAGTATTAAAAAACAACATTATTAATTTGTCAAAATATTTTTACTACTTATATATATATATATATATATATATATATATATATATATGAGACAGGTTACATTTATAAACTTTTTTGTTTACAAACTATACTATGTGACCGGTCCTACATTAATCACACAGTGTACGACCGATCCTACATTAGTGTAATTGCAAAAAAAATTTGTAAACGGATCATGTCCATATATATATATATATATATATATATATATATATATATATATAGGCAAATAAGCCATGAATTATTATCTTTCATTCTTTCTTGGGTAAAATTAAAATGAAAAAAAAAGTAAATAAAAGAGTATTTTACTATTTATTCCCTTCTCTTATTTTTCACCCACTTTAGTGTTTTTCGTTCCATTTTTTTTTATTATTATTCATCAAACTAAACAAAGCATTTAGGCCATTTTCAAAAGCATACATAGCCACATAAGGGATGAAGGTAAGTAAAGTAAACTGTGGGTAGAAGTGGAAGCTGCAAGTTGTAAGATTACACGCGCATAGCTTATGCGTCCGTACTGTGTTAGAGTAAAGAAGTAGGTGGGAAAATAAGCACGTCCGTGCATGACACGTTTACCATAGAACGTAGAAGCTACTTTTGCATGAGTCTAATCGCGTAAACGCTGCGTGATTGGGTGGTGCTTCTTACAAGAAATCATGATCTTATTATTGCCTTCTAAAGCTACGTAGGGGACCCCAAGACCAAGTATTTTCTACTTTACTCTACTTTTAATAAGAGTAAAAGTAAATTACAGACGAGAGAAAAAGAACAAGACCGAAGAGAACAAAAGTTACCTAAAGAAAGAATATGAAAGTGGAGAATCAAGAAACAAAGTAGATTTTGTTTGGTTTTCGCGTCAAACAAGCAAAGCCCGAGGATTTGTGGAAACCAGTTCAAAGGGCCGTAAGACCCAAAAAAAAAAAAAAAAACCGAAAGCTTTCCTTGAGATTTTAGCTTGTTTTATTGGATTAGATTTGATCTTTCTACATGAAAAAGCTACAACATAGCAATAAAGAATCCGATATACCTAATTCCAAAACCAAGTAGCTTCACTTTCATATTTATTATGTATGTTTTACTTTTTTGCAGCTTTCAAGTTATAATTTGAATTAAAAAAAAAAAAAAAAAAGCTGGAGTATAACTGTTAACCCCTAATTGATTTAGCTAAGGATGAAACAAACTTCAAGTCTTCAACTGAAACATCAAGGCCAGTTCATATTGTCTCAGATAAAGCACATATAAATGTAGTGCGCAGTCCAAATTGATGATTGGCACGTAGGTTCTTCAAGATTAATAATCCAAAGAGGCAAAGGGAAAAGGACTGGTTGACAAGCACTATCTAGTTTGCTTGATAGGATGAAAGTGACATGAACCAATTAGTTAATAAGTTGTACACATATACGTGTCATGCATCGCGAGGCATTATGGCTTGAACAAATCAAATCCTGGCCGTTGCCATAGGGTATGATTTTAGACTTAGATATATGACACATCAAATCCTTAATTGCCAACGCAAAGGATCAAGATTCATATTAATTTTGGCCTAACGATATTCATTCATTTACAATATGGCTGCAACGTTGTAGTAATTGGTTGGAGTGGTTGGGGACAGAAACACCAAAAAAAAGAAGAAGACAAAATTACAATGGTTGAGAAACAATCTATTAACGTAATTAATTATGTGATAGACAAAGGTTGCGGGATTCTGGAAAAAATTTTCTGTCCAGGTGCAAGAATAGCCAAGGGATCAAAATTGGCCTTTCTGTCGACGAATCTAGTCCACTTATCTCCATAGTGTAGCATCCAGTTCTCACGTGACTGGTAGTGAGGAAGATATAACTTAAAATCAAATCCTCTGTTGTAGCACAACTGAATAATTGCATTGTTTTGTGCCACTAACAGTTCAGTTGGTGGTCCCTTTGGAGGTGGTGGAATAAATCGGAGCAATGCTACTATGTAGAAGATGTTGCTATCCGGCACCACTACCGAGTGTCGACTATCCCACCTGATTAACATAAAAACAAAAATGTTCAATTAATCAATTATGCTACTTGTATAAAACTGCAGTGACTTTTTTCCTTCAAAAAATAAATAAATTACAATCATAAATTTAATATATATACATATATATCCATTATTTAATCTTATAATAATAATAATAAATTTTGATGTTAAATTAATGCATGAGGTCAAATTCCATCGCGCATGACTTGAACCAGTTACAGATTGGCCAAGCTGGGGGAGGGGACCCTTAAAAGAACCAAATTCCAATGCCCAGAAAAGCACCACCACAATCCCTGTGTATGTGGAACCAGAAGGGCGTTTTTGTTTTGTCTGTCAGAAATACAAAAACTGGTGTCGCTGTAATCCGGTTGGCGAATAAATATCGTTGTCGATTCTTAATTGGCAACACTGACCATGAAAGATACGTTGTTGGGATGGAATTAATGGAAAATCTCGTTTTCTCAGATCCACACAGAATTTCAATTTCCCACTTCTATGCATTGATAGTTAACACCATACAAAATTTTATTATCATATATGAATACAATGAATACAAAAGTAAGAAAGAGATTGATGAAAAAAAATAAAATGAATTAAAAGGGGTTGTTAATTAGATTCCTGTAAGGAAAAAAGGGTTGTAAACTCTATGACTTTGTCCCTCCCCCAATGCGAAGGAACACGTTCCCAGTTTAGCTTATGCGCCAACAAGGAGTGAATAGGAATGGAAATATGGGTGTCATAGTGTACGGGAATGCTCAGAGGAAGAGGGTACAACCGTCAGTGTGATGAAACAGCTGATGTTACCATACACGACCAAAAGATGGTGGAGTCCACTTTGGCTTGACCTTACTAGTGGAATATATTAGACCCACCCTCAAAATCTTAACCACCCCCGTTTAAATTGGTGGTCCAGGAAGCAAGCTCAGTAAGCATATCGTGGTGAAAGATGCAAAATGGGCTCAGGTAATTCGTATACACAGTTAGTGCTTGGTGGGACCCTTCACCCATATCCCTCCTTGCGTGTCGTGCACAGAGATTGTCATTGTTCATGTTTTTAACCTCGTCATAAAAACCAGTTGATGTCACCCACAACCAACCCAACAAACACATATTATTATTATTAACATTAGAGGAAGGGTAAGAATATATTTTGCTAAATATGGTTTCCGAAATCAATAAATAAATATTTGTAGCCGATGCAGGGGTGAAGGAAGGACTATGTTGTGTACTTACTTGCTTCGCAATAGTGGGTACACTAGAATGGGGCCACCTATCCCATGCTTGAGGATCTTCTTGAACACCTCACGATCAAAATCAGCCATGTTGGATTTGGACACGAATAGGTTCAGCCATGGGTGTGGTGCATCCCAGATGCCATTGGCTCTTGCATCCTCCTCCACACGCTTTACACGTAGCAAAAACTCCATGTATGTCACATTCACCTCGAACTTGAGACTCTCGACGAATCGTAGCCGTCCAAGCAATCTATCCACTTCCTACGAGGAAAAAAGAAGCAAGTGAGGAATATTGTATTTTGCTCGAACGAGGGTATTTACGTCATTGGCACAAATTCATATATTTTACTACCTAGAGATTCCAGAAAATGATGGCTATTTGGCCATTTTCGGAACTGTGGGGACCGTAACGTCAGCGAGATCTCAATGATCAGAGCCATGGAGCACCCCACTGATGTTACATGACCATTTTATCCTTAACCGCGAAGAAACTCTACGTTACCATTTTATGCTAATTGCAAAGGTATCGCCCGAGCAAGGTACAGTCCCCACGGTAATTTAAAACGAAAAACATAGGCATTTTAGGAAGGTGATGTGTCAGAAAATCCAATGGAAGATACATTAAGACCGTATAGTCAGTTTTCACGCACCATTGGCATTTTATCTCGAACTAGACCAAAATAATAAAAATAAAAATAAAATGATAAACTAAAGAAGAGTACAAAAAATCCTAAAATCCAAAACCAACACTTAACCCAAATCATCTGTGACGTTATGTATAGGCCTTATTGCAGACAAGAATTAAATAAGCCATCCTCCATCGTTCGAATTCGTACATTTGTAGGTGAAATCTGCGTATATTGACTTTTTTACCAGGGACCCACGTAAAATGCTTCTCTACAGCTAAATTGTCTTTATTTATTCCTCCCTTTAGTTAATGGCTAAGTCTTTCATTAAAGTAATCGACCCACTTAGCAACCACCTAGGTAAAAACTCGGTCATCATCATTAGTGCACCCCAATAAAAGACAAAAACCCCCCAAAAACCAGATAGCCTAGTGAGTTAGAAAAAGAGAAACAGAAAAATAAATTTAGACATTTTTAGTTACCATATCAACATCGGAAGGGTGATCTGATTTTCGATAGTGAAGGGCAGCTTCTAAACAATAGAGAACGGCACCAGCAGTGGGAGGAACATGAACCGGTTCGAACCTTTGGTTCGGGTCCATTGGCACGGTGGTCCAGCCGTTTAAAGGGTCATCACTGTTCACCACAACGAACCCTTCCACGTAATCAAAACCGTCACCTTCTCGGAGACTCACTAGCCACTCAGCATCGCCACTGAAGTCCTCAAATTCCGAGTACACCACCCTTATCCATCTCACCTAATCACACCCAAAAATTAAAAATTAAAAAAAATAAAAACAAAATTAGATTCCGTTAATAATATTTTTTTTTTTAAAATCAATAATAAATAAATAATTTTAGGTAGCGCACCATATCTGGGGCTTGTTGAAGCACGACCCTGGCTCTGGTTATGATACCGAACTGGCCCAGCCCACCAAGTGTTGCAAAGAAAAGCTCCGAATTTTGAGTTTCGGAGCAAACCAAGGTATCGCCTTTACCGGTAACAACCTCCAATTCTGTTACGTTGGACGTTTGCGGGCCGTAACGGAAGGCCTGGCCGCTGACGCCGGCGTTAGACAGCGTTCCTCCCACCGTTAAACCGAGATAATCGGTCCACGACCTCGGTGCGAGGCCGAACTGCGAAACGCAGCTTTCAAGCACTTCTTCCCATAATGCCCCTCCCGAAACGTCGACGTATGGTGAGCCATCGACGAGTTGAAAGTGGTCCTTCATGGCGCGCATGTCGAGGACGAGGCCCTTGTCGGCCATGGCCTGGCCGTTGATGGAGTGGCCGTTCCCTCTCGCCGCCACCGTCAGGTTGGATGTTCTCGCCGCCGCTCTCACAGCCCGCGCCACATCGCCGGCGGCGGATGGCCTGATAACGGCCAAGGGATTCGCGGATTTCATGCCGCCGAAGTCTTTAATGGCTATGCCGGCGTCGCCGAATTGGAAAGTGTCTTCGAGGCCTGCGACGTCGTCGTTTGGCATCGATTCTGTGTCATTTCCGTGCACGAAGTGTTCCAAGTAAGCTATCATGGTTGCCGTGAAAGGGTGGTGGGTTTTGGTGTTTTTTTTTTCTCTCCCTCTATTGGGTTTAAAAGTAGCGTTTGAGTTAGAGCCCTTTCAGAGTTAAGAGTTTGAGGTGTGCGTGCTTTGCTGCAGGTTCAGTTTGGCTTTAAATAGCGGCAGTTTTGGATTTACTTGAAATTCTCTCTCGTCATTAAAAAATATAAAAAAAACGAAGAAGAAGAAGCAGCAGCACTCGCAGCACGCTATAACTTGGGTGTGGCTACAAATTAAATATTTTTTTAAAATTTTCTATAAAATTAAATAAATTAATAATGGATTTTAATTAAAATAGGAGAAATGTGTTTCTTATGTCATTAAATTTTTTTAGAAACCGATTATAAATATGTATTATTCAAAAATACATAATTATAATCAAAAAAATTATTTTTTTTCTTTCCACATCAGCAGATAATTTCTGAAAAAAGAGAAAAAATGATTTTAAGATTATAACTATATATTTCAATAAATACATAATTATAATCAGTTGATGCAAAAAATAAGAAAAAAGGGACCTTAAAATAATTTTGCTCTCAAAATAAACTAACCCACATCATGTTATTACACTTTAAAACTCATTAAGGTGTGGCTAAAATGTTAAAGTTATTCTTAAACAGATAGGATATTATATTATTTTTTTTAATAATTTTATATTAAAATCTTAACTAACATTTATCATCGAGATTTTGATCTAATGATATTAGAAATGAGTAGATAAAACAAGTATAATATCTTATCATTTCTAAAACATGTATTAACTAAATAGTGCTTTAGAAGCATGTAATAATTTATTTCTAATGAAGTTAGGAGGGACTATTTCAGGCTTTTTGACCCTTTTGCCCCTAATTAAATAATTAATAATCAATTTGCCCCTTCCCCAGAACTATCCACCATCATGCCCCCATTTAGTCGATTAAGTTGCACTTTTAATCGATTAAATGGGCTAAACTCAGAAATCATGAAACGCGAATTTTAGTCGACTAAAAACTCACCTTAATCGACTACATTGTTTGCACTTTTAGTCGACTAAGCACATTATTTAGTCGACTAAATGTCGCAGATCAGGTTTTTTAAAAATCCCCCCATTTCGCAAAGGGGGTTATTTTCAAACCCTAATCGACTAAATCGCTCAATTTTGTCCCCTCTCTCCAACCAAGTCCGAATCTCAACCCTTGAAGGTGCGATTGAAGCTTCCTTGGTTCACACTTGCGAAATCGACATTTAGGTAACGTATTCTGACTTGCATTTGGTTTTAAGTTTCGTTTTTTTTTTGTTTTCTCCATGCATTTGATTTCTGTTTGCGGTTTTGTGGATTTAGGTTAGGGGTAGGGTGCTAAGTTTGTTATGAGGGTGAGGGTTGATGTGGTGCCTTAGGCTTAGGGTTAGGGTTATGGTAGTGGTAGGGTTAGGGTTAGGGTTAGGGTTAGGGTTTATGTTGCTGTTTTGTTTGGGTTGTAGTGTTAGGGCAAGGAATGGGTTTTTGTGATGTGCTAGGGTTAGGGTTAGGGTTTCTGTTTTAAGGTTTAGGGTTAGGGTTTCTGTTTTCTGTTTTATTTTAGGATTAGGTTTTGTTTTTTATATTGAATTTTAAATTTTTTGATATTGTTATTGTTCATTGATTTTTGTTTCCACTTGCATTGTAGGTACAGTTGTTCCATGGCTGGTCGTAGAAGATCGTCTAGCACTGGAAATGAGAGGCGACAGAAGCTACGACAAGACCGTCCGTCTTCGTCAAGGCCACAAGAGGAAGACCCCGCTGCTGTCGACCTCCCATTCGGATACTTGTTCGAGAATGACCCGGTGGTTCATGAATCTTTTGTCTGTGACTTTGTTAACCGACCGATTTGTGGGGCCAAATCACTTGATACAACCTTTTTTGAACAAGAAGGTTTTAACATTGTGAGGTGGTTGGAGGAATCACATCTTAGGACCTTGGATGAACTGTCGTGTTCATATTCTGAGCTGCATGTATGGTCCTTCTACCATAACCTCAGCTACCATCAGGGTGAGCTGAGGTTCTAGGGTCTGCGGGGTGGAGATCATCATGACGGCTCCGGTATGGTTGGAGTTACTGGGGTATGACTTCGATTCTGCGCAGACTGTGGAATATGACGCAGACAGCGAGACCATACTTCCAGGATATACACGCGGTGATGCCGTGCAGGAGCAGAGAAGAGCCCGTGGGCAACACATTGCCTATACGGTGGGGTTGCTTACTGTGGAGTCCCGCATACTACACTATGTCATCACCCACATTCTGTTTCCGCGAGCGTTCAATCATTCCAGGGTGTTGGAGCATGACATTCCCATCATATGGGCTATCCGACATGGTACTTCGGTGAACTGGAGGCACCACATCTGTTGGATGATGTATAAGGCCAAACACAAGGGTGCACTTCCATTTGCTTGTCTTGTTCAGAGGATATTAGAGCATTTTGATGTTCCCATGGGTAATGTGACCTTGAAGAAGACCACAGGGTATAATCATAAGTTTGGAAAACGTCTACTGGAGCAGTGCAAGATGACAAAGAACCCTCAAACAGGAGTGTGGCAGTTCACAGGTGCGGCTGATGTTGAGGTTCCTGATGTTGCTCCAGTTGTAGACATGGTTGAGCCCGAGGTGGAGGATGATGATGACGATGATGATGAGGGTGACTAGCAGGAGATAGCTGAGCCTGAGGGTGGGTTTTCATTACGTGATGTCATGAAGGGCATAAACGCCACGCTGAAGAAAATAGGAAAAATGGCGCTGAAACACAAAAAATGGAGGAAGAGTCACGTGCAGAAGGGAAATGAAAGATTTAGACTTATACAGGGACGGTTCAAGGGTGTTGAAGATAGGCTTGCTCGTCTAGAGCTTGGACGAGGACAGCAGATTGAGGATGTTGCAGGGCAGGGGGCTGATGTGTCAGATGAGGATGACGAGGAGACGGCGTCCGAGGAGGATGAGGATTAGATTTAGGGTTTATGTTTCTATTTTACGTTTGTAGTGTATGTTGTTATGTAATTGACTTCGGTCTTCCTATTTGACATTTGTAGTTTATCTAATATTATGGTTATGAAATGAACTATTTGAAGTTCCCATCATGTTGTGAACCGTTTACGTAATTATTGCTGTTTTCTTGTTTACCAAATGAAGGAACAAATATCTTTTACCTTCTTGTTTTTATTTTGTGTCTAATCACAGTCCAACGGGTCTAAAATGTCCAATGAAATTCAGAACAGGTGCTCATAACAGAGTTAAATGAAGAACACAAGTCTCGGATACCCTAACCCAAGATTTATGCAATACATGCACATTCGTGGTTTATAACCTGTACAATATTATTTTGTACCTGAAAGTGTGTTCCCCAAGTCATTATATGCGTGAACATTGATATTCGATCGGTTCCGTGCCAAAAAAATGCGTGCAAAACAGAATGGGGTGTCAAAAGTAGTTATTTAGTCGAGCAACCTGTACTGGTTTAGTCGACTAAACTGTGTAATCGACTAAACCAGTGCAGGTTGCTCGACTAAATACCTGGTTTTGACACCTCATTCTGTTTTGCACGCATTTTTTTGGCACGGAACCGATCGAATATCAATGTACACGCATATAATAACTTGGGGAACACACTTTCAGGTACAAAATAGTATTGTACAGGATTCGTATGCGATTGGGTACGTATTACCCCAAACCGTTTGTTTACGCTCCCCGAAAATTAGTGATTTAATTTTTTGGTAATATTAGTATTAGTTATGAGTTTCAATCTATCAATATGGACCAATGTTAGATAATGGACTTAGAAATGAAATGTCAAATTACATAATGAGTTATACAGTAACACAAAGTAACATCAAAATTCATAACAGAATTACATGAACTCTTACAAAAGACCTTAAATACATGCACAACATTGGTTCAGCTAGGATTAATCCTCATAGGACATGTACGTTTATTGTGACCAATTTGCTTGCAGGTGCTGCATCTAGTTTGACTGCTTGTGGGTTGGGACTCAACTCATTCCATTTCATTCTGTATCCTTGAAGACTTCAGTCTACCTTGTGCACGAACCAATGATGCATTTGGGATTAAAGTTGGACCATCTATTTCTGGGATCAACAACTCATTACCCATTGGAAACCAATGTGCAGCATAGACCTTCTCAATTTGTGTAATTGAGAACACAGGATCGACATAGTCATAGTGGTTCAATTTTTCAACCTTGCACACCGCTAGCACATGACTGCAAGGAAATCGTCTAGCTGTGAATCGTCCACATTGACATTTACGATTTAGCAAGTCAACCCTCATAATGTCGCCGGCATCATGCGTAGATTGATTGTAGGCATCCTCAACTTCAAACAACTGCAAGTCTCTATCAAAAACACGGACACAGAGACTGATAGTTAACTGATCATTCTTTTGTAAGAAGTCCTCAAGCTTTTTTGCAATTCTCCAGCCTTTGTCCTTTACTTTTTGGATCTTTTCACGCCTCTTCACAAAATACTCTACAAGTCTACTTTGCGTCATCTTGACCAATGCCGTTACTGGCAAATTACGTGCACCCCGTAGGACCTTATTGATACACTCAGATAGGTTAGTCGTCATATGACCAAACCTTCGGCCCTCCTCATCATAAGACCTGCACCATTTCTCTTTGGGAATCTGATCTATCCATGAGGCTACTTGTGGGTTACTGTTTACAAATTCTTGAAATCTTAAATCAAAGTGAATCTTCGAACACATGTAACCTGCAAAAAATGAACCCAAATTGCAATGAGTTATACATAAACAACATTACAAACAACATGTACACATTCATGTAAATAGGTTACCTAGTTTCATCAGCGTTTTATTCAGTTCCACGTCCCTAAACTTAGTGTTGAAGTTGCTTCCAATGTGACGAAGACAGAACACGTGATACGCAAATGGAGGCTGCCAACCGGCATGATCCTTCACAGCCCTGATGATGCTGGGGTGACGATCAGATATTAGACATATACCATGCCTACGTGTGACATGGAAACGCATCTGGCTAAGAAACCACAACCAATCATCCAATCTCTCACCCGGTGGAACAATGGCAAACGCAATAGGCAGA